GCCCCGCAGCGCATATTATAGGAATAGAGGCATTTTCTCTTGACGACTTGTATACAGGAAAGTTTAAAAAACCACGCCCGCAAATGTACATCTGAAAATTGCCGATTGACTCAAACATCTCACCCCTGTGGAGTCGCACCCTGTTAAATAGTACCTAACTAGCGCTTGATACACAAGAAAGTCAACAAAATTGGATGATTAAATAGACCGAGGGTCCGAAACGTTTAGTTTTTGACCATGTCCTTCCTATTCAATTTTGTAATTTTTTTATAAAATTCCTACTCAATCCCAAGAAGAGAGTATAAAAAATGTCGTTCTCGAAGAAATTATAAATTACCTTGGACGTGTGACGAATTTCCGAATTTTTAAAAACTAATTTCATATTCGTGATTTTCATGTTCAAAAACCCCCAGAGTATACCCGAAAACCTATTCAAAGACGTGCCACGAGTCTTTCTAACTTTTGTAGTTGCTGAGAAAAAAATTAAAGAAGAAATGCAAATTTCGCCACTTTTGTGGAGGTGGCTTCCAAACGAAACACGTTGGACTCTCGGTTTACTTACAAATTCTTGTTTTGATCCCCTCTACTACCCAATTTTTTTAGCGCATTTTTGCAAAAATTTTTTTTGTAAAAAGTAGCTTTTAATCTCACTTTGGCTAGCTGGCTGGCTGGCAGTAAATGCGCGCCCGTAGAAAAACGCTTGTAAAAAGACAAGGAGTGTACATGTAACTATCGGGGCCGTGTAATTAAGAACGTTAGGGATGGGGCTACAAGATTTGGAGTCGACGACATCTGGACGCCATCCCCGAGCGTATTATACTAACCTGGAGATTTTTCAGTTTTTATCTATCTTCTTCTACAGTTTTTCTCCGATTGTTTTCAAATTGGTGTCGTCGGGAAGATCTTGTCAACGCTCACAACTCCTGCGTGGCGGAATTTTGTTTTTGTTTCCTAGGGGCGAAATAAACCACCTTTTGCGCGGCGCGCTTCGAGGGGTAGTCGACTTTGGGCGCCCAAAAGTTTCTTACAGCGCGAATCGCGGTCTCTCTTTCTCGTGTCACTAATAGAAGGTCGAGCTATGTGAAGTACCCAAAAGTTGAATACGATTTTATGCCGGGATTTTAGCGAAATCTACCAAAATGGGAATTACGAATGAACGGTACGTCGGAACTGTGTATCGACAAAGGGAATGTGGTAACCCCCGACGAGATCTTACTGATGGTGGAGTCAAAACTTCAAACGCGAATTGCGAGTGCACGGTAAGTGAGAAAATGGTACCGACAAAGTGAACGTGGTAGCTTTCGGCAAGATCTTATTGATGGTGGAGTCAATATTGGCTAATAAAACACTGATCTGCCACACAAAAATGCGCTGAAGTCCCTTCGATCTCACACGAGGACTTTGATAATTTTTTACATACTTATATGTAACACCCTGTATTGTTGTATTTGGGATACAATAGCAAAAACGATAATAATAATCTTACGATAATGACAGATTGACTTCTGAACATGTGTAAGTAGAAATACTTGGAAGTTTATTTTCGCAGTTATTAATCAAATAAAAAACTGTTTGAAGTAGCTTCCGATGCAAAGTTTGTGATTCACGATGTACTTGCACCCGACCGTTTACATGAAAAACTGTATACACTAATATTTGTTTAATTTTTTTTGTATATGCCAACTCTGTTCGCTCGGTTCATGGCTTTGACCGAGCAAAAATGTACCACTTTATTTTTAGGTATTTTGCTTTAGTCAATAAAAGTTTGAACGATTAATATAACTAGTATATTGAAACAGAAAAACCGAATACTTATAGATACTCAAATTTGCATACAAAAGGCAAAAGGCGAACGATCCTTGTGTACAATAGTCAAATAGAAGTCCATTGTTTTCCAAATGCAATGACATTTCGTGCTTGTACAACATCTAACAACAAAAGTAATGCTCGCCAAAATTGTGCATGTCTAACAACACAAAAATTAAATTAAACATCTAGAAGAGCGATTAGCACGATATTTATTAATAAATGTGGGCTTGTACAACACTTTGTGAACTAAACACATCAAAAACCATTGCTTTGTAGAGCACATTGTTTATGTTTATCGTGATCGTTAACTATACCGTAGGCATCCTGCACTTTGCATACTAATCAAATGCACGCAAAGTTTACAATAAACTAAGAGGAGACATTTTTCTTAGGGGATCCATAATTTCCACAACTAATGAGCCCGCAGTATTGCGAAACATTTTCTACACGATTAAGCATGAACAATTGCGATGTAAAACGCTATACAATTACAATTATAACAAACGACTGTGTAACAGTACTGGAAATTTATCATAATTAACACCGATACGTGTTGTCATAATTCCTCGCCGAGATTGGCACATAAATAAATAAACGATGACATCTTGAATTGACACGATACGTAATTGTGTGATGAATTTTCCTTCCCGGTCACGTGAACCCCAAATTGAATAAACATTTATTTGTGCTAAGCTCGTTGGATTAAATAAAAAGAGGGTAGTTTTTCTATATACAAGAAAAAATCAAAAATGCATTTGCTCTATTTTGTATGCGAACATTAAAATTCTAAAAACTTTCTTTCCTATTATATTTATGACAAAAGGAAGCATTTAATTAATTTAACTGGCAATTAACATCTATTGCCGTTCTTCATATGGTAAAGCAGTTTCTCTTGTGCATTTGAGAAAAGAAGCTTTCGCCAGGTTTATCACTTCTAACCATGAACCTTTTCTGAGAAACGACCCTTTTATCTCCCTCCTGATGGTGGAGACTGAATGGGGTGGGAGCGGGAAAACATTTTGGGTAATATAGAGGATAATTATTACGTTTTGACCATGTTTAAATATTCGATGTCTTTAAGTTGGGCGCTTCGTTACGAAGTGTCGTGCCTTTCGGCATTTGCGTTGAGTTGTCTTTCGGCCGACGCTACCGTAAATAGCGCTGCAATTAATTCGCCGTTTGTAACCGTTCCCGTCAAGATATTTGAATTGTCTTTGTTGCGTGCGAAAGCTCTTGTCATTAAGCCATTATTAGTGAAGCTTCTTGTTTCCTCTGGTAAATTATAACGAGCATTAAAACTGCAAAGCAATGCAGGTTGACGCCGTTATCAGGTTGATAAGCGACCTTGATACCGACCTGAGAAATTCCCATTACCAATAAGTGTTACTTGGACTACCGATTTTAGAAATTTCAATCCAGATAATTAGGTAAATGAAATTAACAGTAGGTAAATAAATGTGATGCAGTAAACGTCATTCCACATAATTGTGTGCGGGGTATCAAAATAAGCACTCTTAATTGATTTGAATTTTGGGACCAATTACAGATTTTTAGGACGTTCACGCAATTAATTAAGAAATCTTTAATGTTTAACGCTTTCGTATTTGGTACGCCTTATCGGTTGGGAAAATCGTCGATCTCTACATGGTGTAGCCGAATTTTGTAAGATAAAGCAGTTGCTTAGAGGGGGATCTTTATGCCTTTTGCATCTTCGCAAATTATGTTCGTAAGTACCGTAGTTTTTCAGCTTTTTTGTAAATGTAATTTGGCAACCATACCATATTTAAATCATTGACCTTTTTTTTCATTAATTATAAGAGGGGATATTGTTTTGCTTTGCTGCATTTGCTTTCCCCTCGGCTTTCCCGTATATACCGCTACCGAATCCGATTACTATCTACTGTTCCGGTTTAGGGAAATTGCTGTGCGCTTTAAACATTCACCAGTAGCCAACCGCCGCTTGCCCTTTAAAATTCCTGGAGGAACCGTTTGTTAAATACGTCAAATATTTGCAAAATATGCATCGAAGATTGCATAAGTTCCCACCATTGAAAAATACGCTTTAACCAATCGTTAGGTCGACGGTTTTATTAGTGAGTGATTCAAAAGAACAGTCCGTGTTTGGGTAATGACTTATGCTATCGCTTTAAAATTTTAAGTGCTGCTATGTCCCGCAATGCTCAGTTAAACAGATGGCAACATTTCCCGTTATAATAGAAGTCGACGCAAAGGAATATAATGCTTTTTGCATTTCCATGTTCTGTTCCGTTCGTATACGACAGTTTACTGTATGTAGAAGAGACAAAAATTTATGTTTTAAACCATACCAAATTTTGACTCGTTCGGAGACGTAGTTTTCAACGCAACATTTTGTAAGTTCATTTTGGTTCATCTGCTGTCCCTTTCCTTGTGTATCCATAGCGTCCCCAAGCGGTATTGACATTTATTTTTGAATTGGCAAGATACAAGTTCAGTTTAATAAAAATTTTCAGAGACTTCCGAACAAAATAATCTAATAGAAAAATTCACTATCAATGCATTTACTGAGACATTGCCGCTAATTTAGGTAGAGCTTAGGGGAATGGTCTATTTCCACAAAGACCATAAAATTCAGACTATCCTTTATGTGAATAACCACCAAAACGAAACTCGTTCAGAAGTGTTTATATCATCCGATTTTAGTGCGTGATGACGGAAAGCCGCTCCCAACAAAATACTAAATTTTATTATGAATATATATTTAAACATCCTTTCCGGCGGTAAATATTACCTAACAAATATTTCACGACAAGATCAGAACGATTCCACAAATTAGTACACAAAAAGTGAGATCACTAATTACTCTTAGAAATGATGCCTAGGAATTCCGCTAGCGCCGACAGTTTTGACCCACGTAGGAGAATGTCGTTTCCTGTCCCAATTTTCTAAATGTAATCCATTTCTAATAACACCATATCATGCATGACACGCTCACTTCAATCTGAATCAATTGCCACTTTTGCTTCAGGCTACTACTCAAAGATATAATTAAATCAATTGAAAGAAAATCACTTAAACCATTTAAGTATCGGTAAAAAATGCGCACACTGGTTTTACCCACGTCAAAACGTGAACATTTGTACGGGGTTTACTTATAAGGTTCGCCATTTCGGTACCTGCAATTGTTAAATAAAAAAAACACAAAACTTTACCTTTTTTAGATGTTTGTTGACCCATTTTGTAAAGGTTTTCTTTTGAATGGCGTCTCGTTCGTCTGTAAAACAAAAAAATTCGTGTAAACAAGTTAATTTTATAAATGACATCAAGAAAAAAACATATTACACAACATAACACTGTCAGTAACCTTCATAAAACTAGGTCTTAGAGTACCAGGTGAGGTAAATGACTATTTAATATGCATTATGTATAGAATAAAACTGCGAGCAAAATTTGGCACCTTGACCCATGCTGTTTGTAAACTTGTAACGACTGAAGTATGACGAGGAAGCTGGTGCAGTCATAGTTTAGATAAACGGTTTGCAAAAGATTGCATTCTATCGATTCTCTGTACTAAGCGGAAACGAGTGACGTACAAACAGTCCCTAATGCCTTTGGCCAACCTAGGATCAATCCTATCTGCACAATTATGGGGATTGACTTTTGTAAATTTCCCGATTGAGACATGACAGTTTTCTCCCACGTTAACAAACGACGTCACTATTTGTGACTAGGTATACAAGTGGAAGATTGAAAGTGGTTTAAATGCACGCAATCACAAAACACCCCTTAACAAATTCTAGACTAATAATAAACAAGTTAACATGTCAAACTTGATAATGGTGTAATTCATCCTCTCCCGTTCGAACACATTCCAGACAGTAACTAACTTGTAACAGTTGCCCAATATGTTAAATCTTCCAAGCATTAACAGCCAGACAGATTGTCATCGGCGATTAAAATGTACAGACCATATTTTACTGTGATTAAGCATGTACTGGAAAATGTAATTTCGATTTTGCCGCCTGTCGAGCAGAAATTTAGCATGTACTTTTGCAAATGAAAACTCCTGTTTTCTTACATACCGCCGAGTTTATGGTTCATTTCAATATCAACGACCGATTTCACATGTCTTCCGGAAATTTAATTTTATAATTGGCTTTCTAGTACATCACTAGGATTAGGAATAGAACAGACTCCGATGTAGTCATTTCACTTCAAGAAAATAATGCGTAAGGGGAGAACAACGAGATATACAAAACAAGAAATAGAAAATTGGCAAATCATTTTCCTGCCAAATTAATTTATACAGCATTCCCAAATCGTTTCATGATATCATATCGACAAAAAACGGCCGATGGATGGACAAAATGACCACACAATTTTGCAAAATATTCTTCTAGAAGCCAAACTTAAAATGGTAAAATCCAAATTTCAAAATACTCGCTCACTTAAAAGATACGGGGGAAAATAAAAAAGTACCTATTTCAGTATGACCATTTGTTTTTTTAGTTAAGACATACAGAAAAATGAAAGATTTTAGAAAAACTCAAACCAATCTTTTTTAAATGTTTGTGTATTTTTTTTATCCTTTTTGAATCTTTTGTTAATATCATCTTTGGTGTGTTATATTTTTTTAAAGAGAATTTAATACCCTATCTTTTTAAAATTAATTTATATAGGGTGTTTCATTTAATAAAATGAGGTTAGGTCCGATAATTTTTTTACCTGACTCCATAACAACAATCATTGAACATGAAAATACCAAATTTCCAGTGTGAAACATTCCAACTACAATTCTTATTAGCCGGATAATAAAAGTGATCAGAATATCACAACATTTTCTGTGTATGTTCTTTAGGTGAAACACAAATGTGAAATAGTTGTTAATACGACCTTTGAAACGAACGAACGTTATGCGCTTCTGAACATTGCTACTTCGTGTATGTGTATATAGAAACTCGTTCAATGTACACTATTAAAAAAATGGGAAGAAGGTTTTCACCATAACGAGAGTTCTTCGGCGCATTTCCCATGAATTGATGAGTACTTCCCGAAACGTAATATAACGGACTATTTATGTGTACAAAGAACAGTAAGTTAAGGCATAAATATTAAGAAACTTTAGCATTGCGCAGTCTGCGCATGTGCTCATCGGATGTTTAAAATATGCGATACGTTTGCCTTTATGCATCTGTGGTTAAAATTTCCAAAAAAATATCTATAAATAAGGAAGTTGATATTGCGCAGTCTGAGCATGCACACATTAATGGTCGAGATTTTTCTTGGTTGAAATGCTAGAACTATAAACTACCGAATGCAAAAAGAACGCACTAAACTTAAGATCTTGATTTGTGAACTATTCGATCGACTCTAGTCTATTTTGACTTAGATTACTGAAACAAACTGAAAACAAAATTGGAAAACTTGAAACCGTTTGCGAGTTATCATGTACCGTGTGTCCTATTTTAGTTGAGACTTCTATATCACTTATCAGCTGTTTTTAAAGATATACGCGACCCTGGGCCACTTTTTTTGTGAAACTTTTAATACCTCAAACAGAATCAATCTAGCTACGTTTGTTTTTGAGTTTTTTGAGATACAGGGTGAAAACAACCTATTTTTTATATAGATAATTATACCTATATTATATCATATTTTTCAAAATGTTGAAATGGCATAAGTATTTCTACCGTCAGTCATTTTTATTGACTGGTATCGGCTGCCATGGATACAAAAAACAAAACAAAATCTCCATAAATCCCTGGCCTACTATTTAAGAACCGTAAAAAATATGTATTTTATTTCTGGTTCATAGCTAAAATTAAAAAAATATAGTATGCGATACATCATGTAATCAGGAAAAAATAATGAAAAAAATGTACGTTAGGGTGATGCATTTAAAAAATTTCGATTTTTATGGCATATCTTTGGAAGTAATCGGAATTTTCTGGTTTTCTTTAAAGCATGATAATAACTCTTTAATTGCGTATCTTTTATCTCATTTGACCATCGTCGTATCGTCTATGGTTTCGGAGATACCCACGATAGACATCCTTATCTTAGACACAGTATATGTGTATGTATCTTATCTCGTCTCTTATGCCTGCCTAAATCCTTATCAGATCGCGATGAAAATTTGGGGAATGGTTCAACATATGCCCGCGAAGGTTTCTGATTTAGCAAAATTGAACGACCGAGCTTATGTGATACGTTCGACGTCCCCGCAGGGAGCGGGATTTGTGCCGAAACCGAGCTTATGTCCCATCCAGGACCGGATCTGCTAGTTCCGAGGCTAGTTCTAAATAAAAATTATCATTAATTCCCGCAAATTAATTCACTAATTAAATTGCAGTCAATGTTCAAATGAAAGTGGAGAGAACACGAACTCCTCGCACTATAAATAAACAAATCGCCCTCACATTTTGTTATTTTCCTTGAAAAACCCCTTTGTTTTGGGCTTCTGTACCACACCTACTTGATTGTTATTCATATAGATACAGTAAATATGGCACTATTATTCCAAATTAACAATAAAAGCATCAAAAATGTCAATAAATAGATACATTATATTATGCAAATTTTAAATATAATGCTTCATAATAGATACTTAATTATACGAGTATAATTAAAATTAAGCTCCCCTACTGTGAAGCGCATTGATCATTCTTTTTTATATGGAACACTAACATTGCATTTTGATAGCTCGTCTCGTGTGTTAATGATTAAATAACGGGCCTTCCATAATTGTTTGGTAGTAGTTAATTGTGGTTCTCTCTTTCTAGCATGAACGTGGGACCGTTGATAAATTCTAAATTCGTATATGGTTTGATGTCAACTGTCAATAATGTCTCGAATTACAAAAATGCAACGAAAATACTTGTAAGTTTTGTAAAAATACACACAAATTCGAAAAGTGCACGGAGAGTTAAAAAGTGGAAGTTGACAATGTAATAATTTTTGCAATGTTAGACAAGAGATAGGTTTTTTGCAACAATTGCTGAACATAGACGATCTATATTTAATGTTATGGGTAAATAATACGGTAAATCTCTGTCCAAAATAACGAATGCGCGCACCTTTTCAGACTGGGAAATGAATCGCCCAAAATATTGCGAGTATGAAAAGTTCGATGAAGAGAAAAACAGCGTATGGTAATGTTTTAAAAAATACCACCAAGTAAAAACGATGTTTTAAAAAGTTATAGATCAAGAAATCGGCGTAGCAACAAATTAACAGCTGCTAACCAAGAGAACAAATATTAAATTTCAACATACAAGGTAAACCCATTTCTCTTTAAAAACGGAAGGTATAAATTGCGTATTATGACAAGCCGAGAGTTTCAACCTAGAAAATGCAAATAAATCAGTGCGACGTTTCCTTTATGTAGCAATTTCCAATGAATCAACCTCGGAATCAACGTATATGCAATGCGCCAAAATCGATTGTGCGAATAAAATCTTACACAACACATCAAAATCTTGGCTCCCCAATTACTGCAACAGTGGCGGCATGCAGCAGACGAATTACTTCCACTGCGTATCCGCCTTCATACTGATTGATTGGAAAAAATAACAAACATTAAACTCATTAAAATAGTTCTACTTAGCGATTACCCCACACGTCCTATTAAAAACGTTGTAGGTAATACCGGCAGTCAATAATTCGCTCGAGCGTAATTAGATTGATTCGAGATAAAGTTCTTATGGCGTAACAAGATCAAATGTACACGTACGATTTTCCTAATTGAAAAGAGGTAATTGGCCGAATTAGTAAGTAATCAATAGCAGAGATGATATGGGGAATGTTTCATGCGCAAGTTACACACTCGTCGGAAATAAGATATACTAACGCAAATTTAATTACGTGATTTATTTATAACAATTGATCACATACTTCTACTCATATTTATAATAATTATGTAAATTTATAACACGAGCGCGAATTTCAGTATTTTATCACTACGGGATGGATGTTAGAATGAAATAAAAAAAATTGCTTATATTATATTATATTGCAGATCTTCAAGGTATTCCAGGCCTCTAGTACCATTCCCTTAAAAGTAGTTCAAGTGCAGAAGTGGGTACAGGCGAACGGACAAAACGCAAACAATAGGCACTTTTTTGAATTCTTAAAAAATGCGCTAAAAACTCTTACCCTGCTGTAACGAAGCACATGTATCCGCGTTGACATTCACCAGTTTTAGTGATTACACCCATCAGTCTCTAGAAACGTTTGTAGTTGGGCAGGCGCTTCGTTATAAAAAGTGTCGCGCCG